GGTAGACCAGTCAGGGTAGCATGAAAGCGTAACCCCAGCCCGGACGTCCAGGAAATTTTTGCAGTGACGCGCCGGGGACCTGATGATCACGAAGGCTCCCGCAGAAGCCTGTGTCATGGCAGATAAGGGCAGATGTAAGACGCCCGAAGGAAATGAGTAAATACTGAGGTATCACTCTGATCCGGACAAAAGCGCTGACGCCCTGTCTGGATCACATCCCTTAGGTCTTTTACCTACCTTCCTTTGACCCGCGATTCTTCCTATCCCTACCCGCGGGCGGGGGAGGAAGCGACAGCCCGACCTGCTGCTGCTGCGTATGCCCTGGCATCCGAGCGAGATGTCAAGGAGGGGAGTCTTAGAGGATCGTCTCACCCATAGAGAGATAGCTGGCTAGCGTCTCTCTATAGGGGCATCTTCTCATAACCGCTTTTGCGCATCGCCTCGATGTTGGCATAACTTGTATGCTGGAATCGATGGATGCGTGAGGAAAAAACGGCCTCTTCCATTCCTTCTCAATCTTTATATGGAAAACAGGAAGAAAGGAAGGCTCACCTGAGCTGGAGGGTTATGGCCAGAAAAATAACGTTCATTGAGATATTTCGCGACGTCACTTTCTTCACCCGCTTTACGGCAAGTAAAGCCTCGCCGTGGCGCGATCCATAATTTCCAAAAGCTCATCATACGCAGGGCAGGAGGATTGGGAAGGCTCAGCCTCAGCTTCTTTGCCCTCCTCAGCTATTTCCTGCTTTTGCTGGGCTGATCTCAGCAGAGCACTGGCCCCTGAATCAGATAATGTTAATGAAATAACATCATCCTCCAGCGGCTCACTCTCGTGCACAGCCGACGATCACGAAAGGGAAACCCCCTTTCAAACTCATCGGCCAGATCCACCTGCGATCCCCATGAGCTCATTCCCTTCCGTGCCTCAGCTGCGGCGGGTCCTGAATCGCGGGAAGCAGATGGCTGCGCCTCTTTCCTCGAAAAGAGAGACAAACGAGAGCGGGGAGCTTTTCCCTTGGAAAAAACGCTCGCAGTGCACGCCGATTGCCCCCTCGGAGGCATCGCGTGCGTGGTCTTCGCAAACAAATAACGCATAGATCGTGTGTGTCATCAGAAGTTAAACAATGTCAACACGGACGCACACATCCTTAAACGCTTTGCTAGTGCTCGCCATAATGAGATGAATAGAGATCGCTCTTACCACAGAAATGCACGCTTCAAACAAAACAGTCAATGAAGACGAAGAAGAGAATGATGTGTGCTCCCGGCGCCTATTTATACTATAGTCGCACCGGTAGTGACGTCATGGCTGTCGCCAGCCAACGAGTTGGTGTTTTTTCAATGTATGCTTCAGACACGGGTCACGACGAGGCGTTCCCCATAGCGACCCCTAGAGGACGCAGTTCGAAGTTCCCATGAAAGGGAACCTAAGTTTGTGTAAATTGTTTATCATTTCATACAAAAGTCCTTGTTGAGACTTAACAGAGGTTTAGATGTTAATGTTTTAGTGAAAAGTAAAAGTTTAGTAAAGTTTGATGTCACCGTGATAGAGATCAGTGTTTGCTTTAGTTGGGCTCTTGAACCTTGATTTCTTAACTATTAGTTTTTCTCTGGCTGCTTTAACTTTGTCTTTCTAAAGCATATTCCATAAAGCAACAAATGCAAGAGCAAATCTGATCAGATGATATTGGTTACTTATTGTTGATGATACAGTGATTACTCGATTCAATTGAGGGAACAAGTTTACACAATCAGTTGAGTTGAGTCAACTTATTAGGGTTTTCAGTGTTGAATAAAGGCCTCATTCACCTCCACTAGTGAACAGAGAGCTGTTTGGAGGACATATTGCATTGTGAGGAGTCAGTAAGTGAAGGGAGTCAATATTGAGGCCATCTGAACACCAGCTTCTGTCATATTTCCAATCAAAGTTTCCTGTCTGCATTGCTCTGGTATTTTATATGGTCTGTGACAGTTGTGGCCAACTTGAGAATACTGAGGGAAGAGATTCTGTACAGCAGAAAAAAATGAGAAGAAGTAAAGATTAAAAAGATTGGAGTTCCCTGCTTTGTAAAACTAACAAAGTGCAACAAACTATTTAGCACACATCTATCTGTCTGTCTGTCTGTCTGTCTGTCCGTCTATCTGTCTATCCATCTATCTATCTACAGTTTTGATAAAGGAATATAAATCCCACCTTACAGTTAAAAGCCTGAAATAATAGTCTTGTTTGTGATTTAAGCTGAAGAACAGTTTATGATGCCATTATTGTCAGATTTTATTTTGAGAGATGTACCTGCATGACTATAAATATTGTCCCATGGTTGTTTAAAAAATGCTCGCCAAGTGGACTTACTTGCATTAGAAGAATATTTGGTTTGATGTCAGCTTCATGACCAATGGTGTGAGTTTGGGGTGGGGCTGTGTGTTTGTGTTTGAGTGAATATCAGATTAAAGCCTCAGTGGAGTGGGCAGTAGGAGTGTTTGGGAAAACCTGTTTGGAACCTATCATTATCTTTAACTGTTAAAATATAGAGAGATACAGAATTATTGAAAAAGCCTTCATTGCCTTTCTGCAATGTCATTCTTTAGATTTGCGCTCCGTTATAGCTTTATAGCATCTGAGCTGGTTCTGGAACATTCTGCTCACTCACTGGTTCAGGAATTTTTTTTACTTCTACTCTTGCTTACAATCTATCAGGCTGGCATACTAAACTCACACATGTGCATCTCTGGCCATTGACGAGAATCATGTGTTGTAGCTGTCGAGGTCACGTGACTGAAATGAGGCAACTCTGAGGACACCTTGAGCTCACCTGCCACATTTCTTTCCTTTTCTCTCTCTCTCTCCAGGTCCATCTGTGTTTCTCTCTCTTCCTCTGTGCTACACGCCGAAGAACAGGATCCTACACGCTGATCTCATCAGGTAGGCTCTTTATCCTTTTTTCTCGCTTTTCTTTTTGTCTCACTCCTGTTCTCTGCCTCTCTGCTCACTGTGCTGCAGAGATGCTGCGTCATTGTGTGTAACACTCTGGCACATAAGGTGTGTGAGAATCTGACAGGCTGATACGGGCAGTACCGGCATTCTGATTTCTTCTAACAGCCCTCTGTATCTTTACATTTCCTTCTTTTTTTCCAGTTATTATCAGCTTTATCAGCTTTCAACACTTCATTTATGATGAATCATTTGTCTGTGCATTGTTTTCTGCCATTTTTGAGCATCTGTTTACCTGTTAGCTAGTTATGCTCTCATAGCTCTACATGCTGGACACATTGAAGCAGATATGTTTTATGTGTGTCATGTAATTGTGTGTGTGTGTGTTTGCCGGTCGGGATAACATGCTAGTTGGATTCAGCGTGACGTGATGATGCCTGTCTAGACGCCTGCCATTAGCATCACCAGACTGTCCAGGTACATAACGGTGATGGTGGCAGTGATTTAATGATGATGTGGGTCACTAGGGGTGGGTGATATAACAAAAATCATATATCACACTATGAGTAATTGTATATCATGATAACTGTGTATATATATCAATGTATTCTGTACTTTTAGCTGAACATTAAAAAATATTTATTATATACTATTTGTGTGTGTGTGTATACACACAATTTCTATTTTCATTAAATTTTTTTAAATTAATGAATTAATTAAAATGTATTTTAATTCACACACATATAAATTACATATATTATATAGTATATACATTTTCAAATTTAATACATTTATTTTAATTTATTTACATATATATTTGAATGTGTTTGTGTGTATGTAATTTCTATTTAATTTTTGTGCAGGTGTGGGCTGCAATATAACAAAGAGTGAAAAATTTAAGGGGGTCTGAATACTTTCCGTACCCACTGTATATATATATATATATACATTTATTTTTTTTTCATATAGGGGTGCATATTTATTTATTTATTTTTGGGGGGTGATCATTATTTACAATAATTATAATTTTCAAGCAGTTCTTTTCATATGACTTGTGCACTAATTATTCTCAGATAATATTTCCGCTCGAGAGCAGCTTTCAACTCCGATATGGCATCTTTGGCACACATTGGATGCCAATAATAATTTAATTTCAGATTAGCTTTATATGAGAAATAGGCTGACATTTAATAATGGTTTGGACTTGAGGTATAGCGCATAAGCTGCGTGGACTACATTTATGGTGCTTTTTCAGCCGTTGCACATGAAATACTGTCATGCCACCAAACTATATGGGGTACAGTGCAGTGCATCTGTAGTTGTACTGGAGAGCTGGCTGATCTCAGAATCTCACTAGAGACCATTTTGTCACCGAAGTGGATGTTGACAGGAGAGTTCTTGGTTTATATTGTTGTTAAACTCCATCTTTATTCGTTGCCCACCCCTTTACCAATCTTTGTGGTCATGACAGAAAGCATGTATCATATGCAACGTGACCTTTTCTCATCCATTTATCTGTGTCCCTCAGCACCCCACTGTGTCTGTACCGAATAAGGTCAAGCAGGTGACTGTAGTCTTCATGCATCATGCCAGAAGGCCTGTGAAGCACAGGAAGAGTATTTCGTCTGCTGTCTGTCTCCTCTCCTGCAGTGCTGTAATGGCAGAAAGCTGCCTGCCATCAGTGGCTGCATGCAGGAACCAACTGCTGTCCTCAGTGACACTGGCTGCTGCACTGAAGCACAGTCCCATCTGAACTTTAAGGAAAAATGCAGCAATTACATTTATCAATACATAAAATTAATAATATTAATAATTAATAATTTAATCAGTGAATAAAAAAAAACATTGCTGCAAAGAGTTGTTAGAGACATTCTTAGAGATGTTAGTCTCTTGTAACACATTGTTCATGTTTTCTTTTGCCTATTGTCATTTGTAAATGCAGTAAAAATACACATTTTGAGTTTTGAGTCCCTGTTGGACATGAGTCCTGTGAAGAAAGAAGCGCATGTGCTTGTTTCTTAATGGATTTTTTGTGCATCCTTGCTTTGCAATTTTTCCTTTTATTTTTTAAAGTAACAGAAAAATGAAAACAGAAAATGAAATATTTACTCTAAACATTTATTCACCCTCATGTCATTCTAAACCCGAATCAGGTTTTAATCTTCCATGGTACACACCAAGGTTATTATAGTTTTGAATTTTTGAATTCGTTTTTTTTCAAATATTGTTTTCAAATTTGCTATAAAATTCAGTTGAGTTTTTATTAGTTTAATTCATATTTTTGTTAGTTTTAGTTTAGTTTTTATTTTGTGAACGCATTTTTATTTAGTTTTTATATAGTTTAGTTTCAGTTTTAGTTTCAGTTTTAATTAAAGTTTAGCAGAATAAACAGATCACTTCCAGACCGCAGGCCAAAGAAAGACGTAGGCATAATTTAACCATATAGCGACACAAATCTAACGCATGCTGAGATTGATTAGATCGTAAAAATATACAAATATACGCCAAAGAAAGCAGGCAAGCCTTTTTTTTACTAAATTAATCTACACACTTTAAGTCATTAAGTCACACTTAATGTCATATCCAATGATGTGTGTTGAGATATTTAGTATGAAAATACATGTAGCCTGATTCGGTTATATGTCTTTTCTTATTTAACCATAATCATGATATTGTAACTGTTTCTTGCTCGCTTTTCCGTGAACAGCCGTGCATCAATCAAAACTGGGACTAATGAAATTCAATAATAACGGCAATCGCATTTAACAGTAAAGGCTTATATTTTAATGTTCTTTTCATTTATGAAGAATTATAAGCGTGTGTATGATGCACATTTGTTCAAAAGCCTGGCAGAGTGATCACAAGATCAAGATACTAGGCAAAAGTTTTGTGTTTACAGAAAAGGATGCTTTAAATTAGTGCTGCTGTCAGATAATGGGTCGGGTGTTCTGTTAAGTACTGCTGGTGCACGTTTACAAACAGGACCCGTGCAGTCTTTAAACTGCTTTGCGTCTCTCCGTCAGATAACCCCATGAGTGTGTTGCGCCATTACAGGTAGGCTATTTCCCTAAACCTCCACACAGCTCATATATTTTTCCGCCAAGGGGTGAGAACGTAATGATTACGAAAACGATTTATTTTTGATAATTATTTTATTTCAGTTAGTTTTTCAATAGGCTACCTGTTGTTAGTTTCGTTTCGTTTTAGTTTTTCAAATATTTTGACGTTTTTATTTTATTTCAGTTTACGAAATTGTTTTTTCATCAATCGTTTTAGTCTTAGTTTTAGTTTTC